CTCTCAGTTCTGGAGGCCAGAGGTCCAAAATCAAGGTGTTGGCAGGGCCATGCCCTCTTGGAAGGCTGAAGAGCAGATTCTCTGCAGAATCTGTTCTTTGCTTCATGCGTCTTCTGGTGGCTCGTGGTATTCCTTGACTGTGTCCAGCCAGTCTCTGACTCTATGGTCACATTCTCTCCTGCTCTTCCGTGTCTCTTCTTCCACCTTTTTTTGTGTGCGTGCGTGTGTGTGTGTGTTTTTTTTTCTTTGTTTCTTCTTCCATCTTTACAGGATACTTATTGGATTTAGGGCCCACTCAGGTAATCCAGGATGATCTCTTCTCAAGATCCTTAACTTAAATACATTGCAAAGACCCTTTTTCCAAATAAGATCATATTCGCACATTCCAGGGATTTGGACATGGACATATGCAGGGGGAGACGGGGAGCACCATTCAACCCACTGTGCCACCCTGGACCTCAGGAATCAACATCCATACCAAATACCCAAAATTCTGTGTTATTTTAACTTATGTACTAATCCAGGTGAAGAGGTTTCTTTGCTAAGCTCTCTAAATGCAGTCCTAAATCCTCCTCACAGTCCTAATGAGCTTGGTGCTATTATTAATCCCCATTTTATAGATGAAGAAACTGATGTTTAGTAGTATGAATCAATTTGCTGAAGATTTCTCAATAAGGAATTAGCAGGGAAGATTCAAATCCAGTGGCTCTGAATTCATCACCCACCGTACCACCTCCATGAGGAAGCCAGGTGCCAGTTTAGCTACTGCGTTTGATTATCCTCAACACACAGCAACCCTTGACATTTAACAATTTTATTGACGAAGTATAAAATCAATCTAGAAGACGTAAGAATCTAAACCATTAAACATTTTGACTATTGCTTTACTACACAGAGGACCCATCCAGAGACTTGACCCCAGTGGCCAGTCAGTGTGCCCCATTCCCACTGGTGGTTGCACCAGTGCCCTTCCTGGGGAAGAGGAGGAAATCCAATGCAAGCATGCAGGGCTGCCTCCTGCAGTTGTGCAGGTTGGTCCCTACACAAAGGCATTTGGCTGAAGCTGGGAGTGAAGGCCCAAAGCCAGCCTGTGCTCTGCTCTCCAAGCCAAGTTCCCTGGTATTGGTCAAGTCTGTCCAGAGGAGTTCTCTTAAAATTCACACAAAGGCACCCTAAGGGCCAGCAATAGCCCTGCTCAAGTACTTTGAAAGCTATCTATAAGATAAGATACCAAAATGGGGATAATGGAGTAAAAGTGTGGTTATTGCTGGGTAATAGTCTTATCTCACTATTAGATCTAATGAACTTCCCCCCCCCCCCCCCCCCCCCCCCGCTTACCGCAGCCAGTGCCACCCTCCGGGTCCCCCCTCGATTTGTTTCTGACCCACTGACTGCTAATGTGAAGTGGCCTTCCTGACCAGGTTCCCATAACACTCATTCTCCTTCCACGTGATGGGAAGAAGCATGAAGGGAACTCCTAGCTAAGGGTTTGAACTTAAATACACCTGGTGGTAATAACTTAGAGATAGTCATGACTGCACAGAATGAGTTGAACAGAAAAGTGGGATTCATGCCATTGTTTTTTTTTTTTTTTTTTTTTTTTTTTTTTTTTTCC